AGAAAAAAAAAGAGTGAAAGTAGTGGATGATATCATAAGGTTTCTATTGCTATATGAGTATGAACTTACTTTATCGACCTTTATGACAGCAATATCTTTCAGGTTGCCTTGAATATAACACAGTAGAGGAACGTAGAGGAAAGCAGCAGCCATCAGGAGTACGAATGAACCAATCCAAATGGTGACTGTCATATTGGAGATGGTCAGTTTAGAACCAGGGTTTATGGTAGAGTGGGAGGGGTGATGGGAGGCGTACCGGTGAATGCCATGGAGATGAGGACGGAAGCCTTGGCAAAGCTGCCATCGTACCACTTTGAGATATCGGTCGTAAAGCCGACAGACCTGGCAAATGAATAGAGAGTGATGCCATTGATTACTTGACGAGGTGCATCGGCCAGTAGTAGTCTCTTCCAGCCCTTGAAAGTGAAGAATACAAAGAATGCAAAGTCGTCCTTCTTCTTTTTTGAATTGTTGATCTGAGAGAAAAAGCAAAAATGATCGTATGATTTGATTGAATAGTAATTGTTCTAATCGAAGAAATGTATAATATGGATGTGTGTGGTGCATGAGTATAGGGGGTTGATTGTCTTGTATATTGTGATTGAATTTTGATGAGAAATGAAGTTCTTACGGCCATGACGTTGGTGAAAGCATAACTGATATCTCGACTTCGAATGATTGCTCGACTCTTCTTGGCTTCCCAGGCGAGTAGTAGGAATGAGAAGATGATACAGCCAAAGAAGATCCATTTTCCGATTTTGAATGGGACGTTCATCGCGCTACTTCCGCCTGAGCTCTCTAGAATCGAACCGGCCCAATGATTTGAGGCGAGCAGGAGGACCATCGTATATAGATCTGAGGCGTAGACTAAGACTGATTTGATGACTAGGACGTAAAGAAAACAATATCTATGTGTGTGTGTGTGTTTTGTGATTAGTTAGTTTCCTCTGTTTTTGAGTTGTTTTTTTGAATGGCCGAATGAATGATAGGCTAGACTGACTGGAAATAGCTCATGCAACCTGAGTTGTGAAACTCTCGTACGTCGACAAAGTCCCATTTGTGATCTGGTACCTCTTCTCGTTTCCATTGGGCCCCAGTACAACACATCAGGATGGGGTTACTTGCACCAGTTTGAGTTGGATAGTCGTTGGCTTTGATTGATTGTTTGATGAGTGAGTGTGTGTGTTGGTTGGTGGTTGGTTGGTTGGTTGTTAGTAGGAGGTTCGAAGAAGAAGAAGTTGCCGAAGAAATAAGAAAAGAGGGTTCAGTCGCAGTGGGGAGCGGATTAGCTAAGCCAGGATTTAATTAACACTGGATTGGATTTAATACTGTTTTAGTTTCACGTAAGCCACCCTATCAGGCTCATGTATTATTATGGACATAGCCACATAACTCACCTCTTTTTTTTTCACAGGGGATATGCACATATGGAGCTGGCCAAGGTATGTGTTTATAGGATGCAAAACCTGTCGAGGGGGTGTGAGAACCAGGTTGGTCATTGTCACATTGATGCCATTGGTGCATGAGTTCATGAGGCTCGAGATGCAGGTGTTGTAACCCAGGGAAGGGGTTACAGGGGTTCTCACCTTAGCCCCCTTTAGAGCATGCTTATAAACCAGTCTAGTCTATCTACATGCAATGTACAGCCCCTTGACAGAAAAAATGGAACCCCTTAATTGGAGTCCAGAGGGCAAACCAATGGACTTCAATTTATGCTTCCTGGTGAAACTGTGGAAAATAAGTTCTAAAGAATGATTCTGACAAATTGGATAGGAAATTATTTTGTAAAATCTTTGTGTATTTTTCCCCATTTTCTGATTTTTTTGGTATTTTTCAATAATGTTTCAAAGTAGCTCAGAAAATCATGATCAACACAATTGCATCTGAAAAGAATGATTATAAATGAAAAATCAAAAAAAAAAATTGATCAACAGCTTTTTTAAGCATGTTTTGATTGTGTCCTCCACCAGACCAACCCTCCAATCAGGCACTGAAATTGAATTCAATTTTATCCTCAATCCAACTTCTTCAGCTCTCTAAACTTTTGATCATTGATTTTTCTCAATTTTTCATTTATAATCATTCTTTTCACATGCAATTTTAATGCTCCTGAATTTTTGAGCTACTTTGAAAAATGATTGAAAAATGTCAAAAAAATCGGAAAATGAGGAAAAATATAAAAAAAAATACAAAACATTTTTCTATCCTATATGTTAGAATCATTCTTTAGAACTTATCTTACACAGTTTCACCAGGAAGCATAAATTCAATTCCATTGGTTTGCCCTCAAGACTCCAATTAAAGGGTTCCATTTTTTCTGTCAAGGGGCTGTACACACAACCTTGTGTCTTCTTTTCTCACTTCACATCAGGTTATGAGTGCCTTAAAATATCTCAAACTTCAACAAGGTATCCTAGTGTAGGGAGTAATTGTCCTTGATATATATCTTACTTAACGGGTAGCCCATTGTAGGGTGTAATTGGCCTGACCAGAGCCTATATCTCACTGTTTATCCCTGTTCCTCATCATATATCTTGTTTTTATCTTCCTGTCCCTCCCATATCCTGGAAAACCAACATTGTTCACCCAGAAGATATTTTCAACCTTATACAGCTGATTAAGCTGCTCTCTCAGTTGCACTCTAAGAGCAACCACATCGGTGCGGCCCGCAGGTGTAACTTCTGGAGTAGCTTGGATTAGGGCAACTCCGGGTAGGCAAACGCATTGGTGCAGTGTAAACCTGGGAGTAGCCGGGGTCGTGCGCATGTTGAGTGTGCCAATTGGCTCTTAATCCCTGGATTAGTGAGGAGTAACTTTACTCCTGCTTAGCTCAAATCCTACTCTGGGATTAGTTTAGTCTGATTAGCTTGAACCCGATGCAGTTGAGGGCTTGGACTAGCTTGGAGTAGTTACACTAATCCGGCCTTAATCCAGCAACCAATGTGGTTGCTCTAACAGTATAACCAGAACTGGGATGCTGGGTTTTGGGGCCAAACAAGCGTAAAGGAAGATCATATCATCCTCTTTTCTATTGTTGCCAACCTTTTACAAACCATCCACCCATTCCTTTTTACCTCATCATTTCCCAGCCCCTTTTTTTCTGTTCCGTTGTGTTTCCTTCTTTCCCTTGAACACCTTTTCCATCTTTCCCACCGTCCCACCCGGCACTTCTCTCTGTTTTTTCTTTTCCCTCCTGCTATCTTTTTTTCCCTTCCACCTCACCATAACATCCATTTCTTTTTCTTTCCTCTCTTCTACCCTTCTTTTCCTTTCCCTTTTTCTATCCATCCTATGTCCCCATCCCCCTACTTCCACATCCCAACCCACCATGAACAACAATCCACCAATCACACCAAATGCCCCTCCAGAAGCGCCGGAAACACCAACCACTCCAGAGGCACCTCAAGCCCACCCTGTCGCAGCCAGTCAACAACGTCAACCCAACCACAATCAAGCGGTGTGGAACTTTTCAAGCTAAAGAAAAGAGCTTAGAGGGGAAAAGAACAACTACACAGGGGAAAGTGTGAGTTGAAGACTTGGATGCTGATGAAGCTGCCCTCTTGTCAAGGCTTGGGAGAGAGTTACACTAAGAATTAGAGAAAAGGTGTGGCTATTTCTGTGGGTAATCTTAGTATGAGATTTATTGCTGATGTCTTGTACAAGTCACCTGCTGAGAGATTGAGGATGTGGGGGATTCTGGTAAGGATGAGGCTCTGGGGGATAATGGTTTCTGGGTTCAATTTCTTATCTTCTGGGGAAAATCAATAATAATTACTTCTGGTAACTACTAGTAAGTGATGTCTGCTAAGTAATTATCTGTTAACTTCTCTAATGCAAGCATGGGGAACAAAGTAAGTGGGAAAGGGTATTCTCTATATACATGAAGATATCAGCTGATGTAAGAAGATGGTATGAAATAAGTTGTATCTGAAAGACAATTGGTTATGAAATAAATGTGGCTGACAAATGTGTAGTGTGAAATAAACATGTTGAAAAGGAGAAAATATGAAGTAACTTCTGTTTGTGATAAAAATAATATGTAGTGCAAAAAGAAATGAGATAATCAAAGACTGAAATAAATATTCTGAGGTGAGATGAGAAATCTGTGTGGTGAAATATATATGTAGGTGATATAAGCAATGAGTTGAAATGAGATGTATGATGAGAATGTAGGTGATATAAGCAATGTGTAATGAGTTTGAAATGGAATGTAAGAATGAAATACTTGTAGTATGAAATAAATGTAGAATAAAATAAATGTAGAATGAAGTAATTGATGTATGAAAAGAAGTGGATGATGAGTGGGATGAGATGACAATATCTGGATGAGAAATCAGATGTATGGGATGAAACAGTATATGTAGTCTGAATAAGTGATATCTGAGATGAAATAAATAACATTTACTGAAAGATTATTATCATAGAAAGAAGGTACTGAGGGAAGACTAATTTGTATCTTGAGATGTGTGATATGTAGTATGTTGTAGCTATGTAGTACTATATATTATGTAACCAAACTATGTAAAACAATACTGTTTTGTAACCTTCTGAACTGGGTACAAGATAATGGGTTATGTAGCATATGCATATCTGGTTGTAATAACATGAAAACTACTGTAAATAGCTATTTTGTACTATATATGACCTTGATTGGTCTCACCACAGCGGAAGCACGTGTGCGACATTGTTGTCATCGGGATCCCCCACCCCACCATGCACCCCCAGAACCTTGCCAAGAAGATCCCAAACGCAACCAACACATTACAGCCATCATTGGAGCAGTCTCCAACCAAATTGATGATGAAGACCGCCTCCAACCGGATGGATCCAACTTCACAACTTAGCAAGATTTCCTGGACGAGCAAATCAGAGATGTGATCAATGTACCTCTCTTCTTTCACTTTCCCAACAACAACGTCATACACAAACAAATTGGGTGTTCTCTCATACTCACCTCTGTCAACCGGTCCATGTGTCAAGGCCTTGCAAGACATGCCACTGCACGTTGAATGTGGCAATACATCCAAATCCATTTTCATTCCATCAGTTGCGCTGCTCAAATGGATCTGTTCCACCCCCTCATGGCCTTCAACGTCAGCAAGCATCCAACCACGGCAGGCATCACTACCCACATTGGAGACATCCTCAATTAGATGGAAACAATTTGGATGCCCTTCACTTGTGATCGTCTAGCTGGTTTGGTTCTCCAAAACGGCCTGGCCTCTGAACCGGAACTCCAACAGGAGTTTGACCACAGGATTGAGCATGAACTCCAATCAGCCACGGTTGAGGACCCCCCCATGAACTTTGAAGAGATGGTAGGCCCAATCAACACTATCCAAAGACAACTACGTCTTCAAAATGTCAACCAAACCTTGACCGCAATGCAGACACCTCTCATCATGCAAGCCAAAGTCAACCCAAACAGACGGTGCCACAATTTCCCGGACCAGCACTGCATCCAGACAACACACCCAACACCCATGATTTCATGGTGATGCAGGTCTCCAGATCACATGCGAGCAAGAATATCTGGCCCAGGAAGATTGTCAAACCACGCTAGGATTCTGATGGGCCCCTCCAGCTATGCCCCAAACGGATTCCAATCTTTTTACCCAATTGTCATACCCCCAGGTTTCACCGGTGTATACCCCCAGCCCCAGCCTTCTCACCATCAACAAACACCATTGCCAGCAAATGCCGGCCTCGAAATTCAACCACGACTGGCCGACTACTACCGCCCACCCCAATACCACCTGCAGTGGGTATCTCAACAGTCAGAATCAATCAGGTCTCAGAAATCAAGACATCAACAGGCAACAACCCAAATGGCAAGTCCACGGCCAGAATGGTTGAGCTAGATGATGTTGCAGAGGACCTGGCCAACATCAATTTTGGCCATGTTCAAGCTGACATGAATGACAATTTCCCAATCGTGGATTCAGGTGCATCCCACCACCTGTGTGGAAATTTTGATCTCCTTTCTGATTTCTGTGTTTTTCCAAAACCCATCCCCCTGAAAGTAGCAACATTGGGCAATCCTGCCTTCATCACTGGCAAAGGAGACCTTACTTTCTCTGGACTGGACAATCAAAGTGTCACGATCCACAGCGTCCACAATCATCCCTCCTATATGGAACAGTTCTTTGAAGTCAAATTGTACTCACTCCAAAAAAAAATATCATCAAGGATAAAAGGATGCACCAAGAAAAATAAACTAAATCAACTGAAGCTGGATAATTTTACTTATTTCAAGAGAGATGAACCAAGTTAAAGACCAAAATTGAAAAGGAACCTAGAAAAAGTAAAAGTGAAATTATGTAAATTGTGAACCAAGGTCAAGATGATAAACAATTATTCATGAACATAATTAATTTTATAATCTAATGATGAACCCAGAATTGTGTGTTTTGGGGTCAGAGAATGACTCAATTGTTCTTGTAAACTGTGGCAAGTTTTGTTGTGAGATTTGTCACAAATTGGTGTTCAAAAGATTAAACTCTGAAAAATTTATATAGCTTGGAAAACAATATCAATCAATTCTATCCCAATCATTAGACATTTATTTTGAATTTCTTATTGAGTTGTGATGCACAGCTTCCATGATAAACTTAGAGAACTCTTTATCATGTTTGAAATTTTCCTCCCAAAATCTTGGATTGTAATTTTTGAACCAGTAACCCAAGAGAGCTAGAGAAGATTCATGATATTTGAAGTGATGTGTCTGTGAAAATGTTCTAATGATGAAAGTCTGGACCTCATCATATATTGGTACTCTAGAGCCATCAAACTTTTCTTTTTTTATTAGCCCAATGATTGGTGTGATTGATGTTGCTTTTTTACCATATAAATTAACACCAAACCACCTCAGGAATTGTGATTGAGAAATACCATAGAGTTCCTTCCCTTTGATTTGAAAAAATGAAAATATGCAACCTGAGTAAAACTCTAGACTTCCAATAAAACGCTCCACCATAGCTTTCCAATGTTTCCTTTCAACAAATTGACGCGAATCTGATGATAACAGTCTCACTCCAAATTTTCTTTTCACCGCCTCATGTTTAACTACTGCAAGTTTGAGATTTGGAAATGTAGCCTGGATTTCACAATTCATTGGCATTTTAGCTGACATACGGTCAAATCGTTTGAGGATTGAAATCGAAATATTGTCTTTTGCCCTCGGGAGGTTGCCACACGATGAAAAATTCACCCAACTTAACAATTTTTCAGTGTCAGCGTATTGCCTGGTTCTCCTTGATTCATTCATATCAAAAAGTTTGAAATTTCCAATCTGTACATAGTCTTTGGATTTTCCACTTATTGGATCTTCTCTGTATTTCGACATATTTTGATCGCTGTTTTCCGACTCCCAGATGTGTTTGGTCAGAGCAAGAGGTACCCGAGCCCAAAAGTAATTATCGATTTTGAAGTGTTGTTTCCATTTTATGGAAGTATTCTTGAACCATATTCCTACAATCGCTAACGAGACGGTAAAGACCAATCGTGGATCCTGGAGGAGCTTGGAGAGCCACACTTGAACCGGACCAGGTTCAGACTTATAATTATCAAGCGTCTCGCGTTCTATGCTACCCAAGACCGGAAAGCCGCTTGGGGGATTGAACACCTCTCGAAAAAGCCAAAGAGTCATCTGTTGATGGTCAAGTTGGCAATAAGCGTCTCCATAGAAGTCCCTCCCGACGACGCTGTGGATTTGGGCCATCCATACGTGTAACAATCTCAAAATTTCAAGCAACGATATCGAAGAATACTCCGTCCTCTCTGAATTCAGCGAAATGATCAAATCCACGGAGTTTGGAGGATCAAATTTGCATACCCTTTCGATCGCTCTTTTGTAATACCTCTGATATTTACTACCTATGTGACCATACCTAAGCTTTTGTGTTTCGCTAAGTGATGCGTTTAATATAGAACAACTAGGCGCAGAGGGTCTTTATAAAGAACCACGAGTGTAAGTAACACTACACGAGAAGACCTGAGGAGACGACAGCGAGCACACCTTTATAAAGAACCACGAGTGTAAGTAACACTACACGAGAAGACCTGAGGAGACGACAGCGAGCACACCTGTTGTGCGAGATTGAGTTGAAACAGTGAGATGAGAAAACTGAATGGATTTCAATAGCATGAGGAATGAAATAGAAATGAAGAAAAAGAAAAGACATGAACCTTTATAAAGAACCACGAGTGTAAGTAACACTACACGAGAAGACCTGAGGAGACGACAGCGAGCACACCTGTTGTGCGAGATTGAGTTGAAACAGTGAGATGAGAAAACTGAATGAAGAAAAGAAAAATAGGAACCGATACAATTTGTAACTATTTAACTAACTAACATTTAGGTTTCACAACTAGGTTTCAACTTTGAATATCACTACATAACCCTAACCCAACTGGTTGCCGAGTATGCATTACTGAGTTAACTCAATACCCTCCCTTGCTCAAAACCGGTTGAGGTTGAGTTTCTCGAGAGAGTCGATGTGCTTCTTTTTGCCGAGTGCCTTGGTGAGGAAGTCCGCAAGTTGATTATTAGTGTCGATATACATGGTCCGGGCTAGTCCTTCTTTGATGAGTTCGCGAATCCAGTGATACTTGATTCGGATATGCTTTGTTCGTTGTTGAAACATCGGATTGTTTGCGAGAGCGATTGCTGATTGGTTGTCGACGCACAGTGTTAGCTTGGAAGACAATTGCACCCCTAAAGAGTCCAGGAGCGTAAGAACCCAGCGAGCCTCTTGTCCAGCTTCGAACAGAGATATGTATTCAGATTCGGTAGTCGAGGCTGAGACAATAGGTTGCTTCCTTGATCGCCATGAGATGATCGAGTTGCCAAACATTGCGAGATAGCCTGAGTATGAGTGACTGCCTTCAATGTCGTTTGCCCAATCCGCGTCCGAGTAGACTTTGAGAGTGTCAGGAGGTGTACTACCATCGAGGAGAACACCGTGATTTCGAGTACCGGAAAGGTAGCGGAGAAGATGAATTACCGCTCTCCAGTGAGTGATTCCAGGAGATTCGAGATGTTGTGAGAGTTGAGAAATGGTGAAAGCAATGTCGGGACGTGTACAGACCGCAAGATACATTAGCATTCCCACAGACCTGCGATAGTTTGCGCCGATATGTTCGAATTGCTGCCGTTCAGTGGGAGTAGATTTGACGAGCTGAGTGTTAGGAACCATCGGGACTGATGTTGGTCTACAATCTAACATATTGTGTTCGGCTAGAACCTTGACTAGATAAGCCTCCTGGGATAAGTAGAGTTGTCGATCCTCGATCCGAGAGACTTTGACTCCCAACAAGTGCTTGAGTTCCCCAATGTCGTCCATCTTGAAGCGGGCAGAGATGAGATCTTTGAAGCGCTGAACATCAGGACTGATAATAACCATGTCGTCAACGTAGACGTGAACGAAACACTCCCAACCCGGTGTTTTGCTAATGAATAAGCAAGGATCCGCAGGCGATGACTCAAAGTCGATGGAGTGAAAAAATCGCGATAATGCAGAGTACCAAACGCGAGGCGCTTGACGAAGTCCGTAGATGGCTTTCTTTAGACGAAGACAGTGACCGGCAGGAACCGCGAGGCCAGCTGGGGGTCGAAGATAGACTTCCTCCTCTAGACTCCCATTCAGGAACGCATTTTTGGCGTCCATTTGATGGATGAGATGTCCCCGGGATAGACCAGTAACGATGGCTGTTCGCAGGGCAGCAAAGCGTCCAGTCGGAGCGTAGGTGTGAAGAATGTCGTCAACCGATTGAAGCGAACCCTGCGCGCACAACCTGGCCTTGAATTTGGATACCGCCCCATCTTCGTCGAGCTTCTTGCGAAAAACCCAGATGGTCCCGAGAAGTCGATGGCCCAAGGGAATTGGAACGATTTCCCAGACATCCAGGTCGATCATGGCCGACAGCTCGAGTTCAATTGCCGCCTTCCATTGATCTGCCTCTGGAGATGCCATAGCTTGAGTGTATGTTTGGGGAACCCCGACTGAAACGAATGCCATTGGGAAACGACCGTAGTCCGGGTGGAGATGATCGAGCATGAGTCCGTCAAAGTGATCCAGAATCGCCATGTTGGCACGTCTTTTGTGGTGAAGGATGTTTGACTGATCGATGGACGATGAGATGTCTTTTGGTGCCTTTTCCGGAACAAGGAGGATGTCCCAGCCCGGTTTAGGTTTGGGGCCCTTGTTGGTTAGGTCTTGAGTTGCTGCGTGCTGATTGCCCGATTGATCCGCGCCAGAGTTTGGCAGATCATCCGGATTCGGATCGAAGTATTCTGAATCTCCTCCCGAATGAGAGCTATCTTCACCAGTGTCGAGATGATTTGGATCGTCGGAGGTGGAGGTAGAATTTATATCATCGAGTTCTTCAAAGAGTGCGAGATCAACTTCACCATCAATGGGATTATCAGTTGAGGAGAGAAGGGAGACTCCTGGAAAGTCTGCCTCATCAAAGATGACATCATGGCATCGCTCAACCTTCCCTCCCGGAAGTAAAACGCGCCAGTTGTGCATACCCAACTGATATCCCATTAACAGGCCAGGTTTGGAGGTGTCTCCAAATTTACCGTCCCTGAGTTTCTTGGGAATGTTGACAAAAGCCTTACATCCAAAAGGACGCAGCCGAGAGGTGTCAAATGAGGAATCAAACCAGAGCTCATACGGAGTTTTCCAGCGAAGCTTGCGAACCGGAGTGATGTTCTCCAAGAATACAGCTGTGCTGACCGCTTCAGCCCAATAGGTTGCTGGGAGATTCGCTTGCTTGAGCATTGCCCTGGCTTTCTCGCTGGTGGTTCTGTTTCCCCGCTCCGCCACAGAATTTTGCTGAGGTGTATAGGGAGCGGTCACATGAATGGTCACCCCTTTGGATCTTAAGAATTGAGTGAATTCTTTTGAATTGAATTCGCCTCCTCCGTCAAATGTCACCGATTTGATTGGTCGATCGTGAAGAACAGTAACATTGTTATAATATTCAACGAACTTAGCGAAGGCCTCTGACTTGGCCGAGAGAATGAAAACATGACGATATCGAGTGAACCAGTCTGTGATTTTAAAATAGTATTGACCCCCTCCGCATGATGAAGGAGTAATTTTTCCACTGAGGTCCATATGTACCGATTCAAGTGGATGAGAAGCTTCAGGAAGATGAGATGGAAATACAAGTCGATGAGATTTGGATAGGGAACAAGAATCACATTTGATTTTGGGTGACTTGATTCCAAACATCCTCTTCAGTGCCTCGTTGCTGCAGTGGCCGGCGCGCCTATGAAGTAAGTCGATATCAGTGATTGTTGAGATTCGAGCCGAAGAAGGTATGGACTGACCTTCATGAGTGGTTGTCAGATGAAGCATACAAGTTCCTCCGATTATCGATGCCTTGAAGATTACTTCGCCTTCTCTGACAAGAACAAACGATGAAGTGCCGGTTCTCTTGATTTCACAACCGCGCTCGTACAGACGCCCGAGACTGATGAGAGTTGCACTGATGCCTGGAACATGAAGCGCTTTCAACGAGATGACTTGATTATTCTCGGCTTTGACGTGAACAAACCCTTTTCCTCGTACTTCAAGGGTGTTTCCGTCGGCTAGCTCGACTTGATTGGATTTTTGTTGATAGTTCTTGAACAGCGATTTATCAGCAAACATGTGATGTGATGCTCCACTGTCAAGGTAGCACAAGTTTGGTGTGCTGATTGCTGCGAAAGCTTTGATCGTGCATCGAAGCCCGTTACCGGTTGATTGAGAGGAAATGCTCTCCGCGTCATCCGCTTGAGCAGTTTTTGCCGACGGTTTCAATTGCCAGCATACGCTTTCGGAGTGTTTTGTCTTCGGGTTGTGCTTTCCTCCGGTACAGTAGTGCTTTTTGGGTTTAGATGATGCCGCCATAGCTGTGTCTTCGGCTTTGATGGTGACTGAGGATGAGATTGCGTCAAGTCGTTTGTTGTTGAACGTGTCTTTGACTTTCTCGATGGTTAAGGGTCTCATTGTCTTGAGGAGATCTTTGGTGGTGTCGAAGTTGGATGGTGCTTTAGAAACGATGATTTCGGCGACAAACGATTCAGCGATGTGTCGATCAGCTCCTTCCATCTTGATGCCGACGGAGGCCATTAGCTTGAGATGCTCGTCAACTACTTCGAGATAGGCTGTTAAGTCTTTTCCTTTGAATTCGAAAGTACAAAAGTCGTTGTAGACTCTAGCCTGATTGCCGGATGATTTGGCTTCGAAGTAATCGGTGAGAAGCTTCCATAGCGCAACCGGGTCTTCATCATTCTTCTCTGTAACGAACCTGTTGTAGTTCGTTACCCCCATGTTTGATACTAGTATCCCTGCCGTTTTCGAACGATTGGAGTTAAAGAGTTCGAGAGCAGTGGCATCGGTAGGGATTGTCTCCAGCGTAAGATATTTTCTTAAACCAAGCTGTTGACAGCAGCCGATGACCTTTTGCTTCCAAGCTCCAAAGGTGGTTTTGGAAAGGTCGGGAATTTGATTTTTGGTATCGGACATGGTTGAGAGAATGAGTTGTGTGTGTGTGTTGAAAAGCGCGTCCACAGAGTTAGGACTCTGGGCTCATAACCTATAGAACAACTAGGCGCAGAGGGTCTTTATAAAGAACCACGAGTGTAAGTAACACTACACGAGAAGACCTGAGGAGACGACAGCGAGCACACCTTTATAAAGAACCACGAGTGTAAGTAACACTACACGAGAAGACCTGAGGAGACGACAGCGAGCACACCTGTTGTGCGAGATTGAGTTGAAACAGTGAGATGAGAAAACTGAATGGATTTCAATAGCATGAGGAATGAAATAGAAATGAAGAAAAAGAAAAGACATGAACCTTTATAAAGAACCACGAGTGTAAGTAACACTACACGAGAAGACCTGAGGAGACGACAGCGAGCACACCTGTTGTGCGAGATTGAGTTGAAACAGTGAGATGAGAAAACTGAATGAAGAAAAGAAAAATAGGAACCGATACAATTTGTAACTATTTAACTAACTAACATTTAGGTTTCACAACTAGGTTTCAACTTTGAATATCACTACATAACCCTAACCCAACTGGTTGCCGAGTATGCATTACTGAGTTAACTCAATATTTAACTCCCAATTGGGTAGGTCAATGCCTTCTGGAATCGATAGATTGCCATTTTGATGATCAATTACCAATAGTTCCTCAAAAGCACGATCCAGATCTCCAGGAGAATTGATTTGGATGTGCTTCCAGAATCCAGTGTCGAAAGCCAAATGAGAGGTTACGGGGTGAAAATCTTTCCCTAGCTTCTCTGAAAACACGTACCGGTCATTACGGGGTCGCTTTGGTGCATGAAATTCACTGTCCTGTGCTGGTATTCTACTATTAAATTTAAAATCTGTGTCTGGCTTGTTAGAGCAGAGATTAACTTCTTCATATGACTGATCCCCACTTCTTGGTGAAGCTGAGTCAATAGTTTCAGCCAGCTCTTCCGCAAATTGGTCCCAATCATCTTTCGAGTGCACTATCGTTGTAACTTGAACCCACAAAATAAGACAAACAAGATACCAGAATGGCATGTTCAGAAAATCAGGGTATGAAAGCAAGTGAGGATTATTGTAGCCACAGTTTTGGAGAGCTTTGTGTCAAAGCAATGTAGGGTGATGATTTACTTTTGAGCCAAAAATGAGAAACTTGAATCTCTTCATGATCCGCACATGCGCCAGTGGAGTGAAACGCTACCCCAAGAGGACTATGGAGTAATATGTAAAAGCCTTTTGGCTGAATGTTTTAGGAGGCATTTGGTGCATTTCTTGCTACGACCAACCTCTCGAGCATCAATGTGGTGTCCATTTAGTTATGTAGTTTACTGTGACAGTCGTCATTCTGTCCCTGTAGCACCGAAGAGGTCTTTGCTGGATAGTGTTCGACTCTGGACAAAACATTTGATAAATGGCATAAGGTGTTCTGCTTCTCAGACAGATACACAGGAGCTGTCATTTTTGACGCTCGGATAAGACCACAGACTGGCTTAGCACCTAGAGTTGCTGTAGTACATAAATATTTAAACAAAACGTGCAATGGCTTGAAAAGTTCATCGGGAATGAAAAACCATCACTTGTGTGTACGTATCTAGATTGAGGTCACTATTAGTTTATAAAGTGATATAAACGTTGTAAAGACAGGATCCCAGACAACAATTTTAGATGTCTGTGGTTGCGCGTAATGTTTTGAGCTGGCCACCATTAATCAGCTTAATTCAGCCGCATCAGATGATGACATGGCATCAATTGCATTGGGAAAAGACAACAGAAAAAGGGAGGATGACCTTTAACGGAGTTGGCAGAGACAAAAAAAGATAAATTAGAACCGAGATCAATGACCGAGTAAAAAAGCAAACCAAATCTTCATACATGGACTGTTGGAAGATTGGCTATTATGACTTTAAATAAAATAGGAAGGCAAAGTATATGATAAATTACTGAAGGTATTACAAAAGATTCACAAAAAACCCCTTCAACCGTGTCATTCCATTGAGCCAAATGTCTGTTTGGGTGGAATATCCCATGTCAAAGTAAGTGGTTGTCACTGCTTGTAGTGTGACAAGGCAATGTGTTCTTATGATGTGAATGATCCAACGAAAGCGACAAAGTTATCGTCAAGACTTGTGAACTCCTCCAGTTGAGGGGTCACCAATGGGAAAAAACGCGTGTCAAATAGGTTGATTTGTTCTCCGCAAGCGCCAATCAAGCTGGCCAGTGCGGTTGAAATCAACAACATATTGTCTGTATTGTTATGCATGATGCGCGCCGATTGAAACTTCAAGGTAAGAAGACGAACAACTGGAAGATAGATGGGTAATTTGAGATTACTAACCACTGCAGGAATTCTTGATAACCGGGTAAGGCTTGTAAAGACCTGATACCGATTGAAACACAGGCTTGAGTGTCAAAACTACTTGAAAGGCAGACCATGAGACATCCGACTATCACAGATTTAGAAAGGAACGAGACACAGATGGAACGATTAATAATGTTTCAGAGTGGAGAAATCAATTTGTCATTCTGATGTAAAATGACTGACAAGATTGATTCCCTTATCATCTGAAAGAGGTTTCGTGTCCGTGCCACAAAGTTGGACGTTGGTCAAGGATACCTTCAAGTGAGCGAGGATATCTTTGAGGTTTGTTGCAATCTGTGATCCGATCTGTGCAGCGTTTTCCTTAGTGACCTGTGTGACATTGGCTTGGATTAAAGTCGCCGGCATCTTCAACTGGGCTTCACTCTGAATCAGCACTCTGTTGATCTCAGATTTGGTGTGCGTCTTGTCGAAAGTTGGGGTTGAAGACACTGGTAAAGCAGCAGGTTGGACTGAAGCCAGAGATGCAGTAGCAGCTTGCGGTTCACTAGGCGGGGGCGTTTGGAAGGAAACTGGTGGTGAGCTGGAGACAGGTACTGAGCTCGATACCGGCGCGCTAGTGTACCCCAAGTCAAGTGAAATCCCGGATGATAAAGCGCCCAACAAACCGTCGCTGCTGGTTGGGCGATCTTGATAGGAAGTTTCAGCGCTATCACTTGTGGACGCGCGTTCCCTTTCAACTAGGGATCGTCTGCTTCGTGAGCCTGGGTGAGGCTTGCCGCCGGTTGTATGTAAGCGCCGGATGAAGTCGCTGGAAAGAAAGTAAGCCCCATCATACATATTCAAACATCAATATTGTCCCACCAGACCTGTATTTGATTAACAGGTAGCGAATTTTGCTCTACTCAACTTGTCATCCAGCTTGAGAGAAGACTTGGCTAGTACCACTGCATAAATGTCGGTTTTGCCAGGACACTGGTCAATTAGCTCGGGAATTCACTGGGTCATGGTTGACAAGAAACAACTACTGACATTCAACGGATAATAGCCAACAAGCTAGGAGGACAATGGAGCTTTGCATCTTGATAGTGTGCTGTTGAGTAAACAGTATGTCGAAGACAGGCAGTAGGATGCTCTGCAGAGAGAAAATGAAAGTAGAGTACTGGAAGTCCAGGCGTTTGGCTAAAATTTGGTAACAATGAGTTCGAGAAGCAGCGAAGAGTGTCTTAACTCCCTTATAAGTGGCGATGGGTTGGGAATTGGCTTGGTGGGTCTGTCTAGGCAACGATGAAGCTCGCATTCAGCGATTTACAAAGCAATGGCACAGGCTCGCACCGTCAAATCAAACCTTCATGTTCCCAAAATTGACGATGAGAAGGTGATCAGCCGGGCGCACAGATCTGGACCGCTATGCTTAAAGAAGTTTTCCACGCATCCAGCTGCACGTAAAGCCTCGGGGTTAGCTTTTTGCTTTGCGCTGGTGTATCCCCTATAACCAAACGTGACATTGCTCATTATGACTGCGGGAGTTCCGTGAAGATATTTCCTAGGATCAATGAATATCTGTGGCGAGTCTTTGACTTTGACCAACTCTGCAAGAGCACAATGACCGGCCCGCTTTGGCTGGATAACATGCGGTGAGGGAAACTCGAGTGCACATGCCCACTGGCACAATGGTGCCGCTCACCCAGGAAGCGACAAGAAAGATTGCACCCGGCTTGCTTGTCTAAATCCCAAGCGCATGCATGCAATCCCAGCACAGTTCATCGCTTACGCGCACTCGCACCACGAATTGTTTTTATCCATCTTACCATTTGCTCAATTGAGTTTTCATAATGCTCTTTCGGAACGTGGAAAACGTCAATGGCATTATGACATGTCTACCAAGGCGGAGGTGCTGGTACCAATTAGGGCGCCTGGTCGCAGAGCACCCCTGAACCACCTTGCTCCAAGGAATTGCCAACATCAACGGGGCCATTAAAGCTCTCAACTATTGATTTCTAATTTTGGAGACGGATATTCTGATGGTGATTTTTGTCCACCTTTCCTATTATCACATGTGACCTGATTAGGTGGTTAGAATTGCAAAAATAAAACTCTCCCCAAGACACAAAATGACAGGAATTCAGGATGCTTGTTCTACCTGCCCCTGACAGAGTTCAGAGCTCGAGAAATAGTGTCTTTTGAGTCCCGTGAACAATACAGATAACATCTGATTGGCTAATGCTGTGGTATCTGAATCAATTATATCTGAGCCTTCAATTCAAATTATTATTCCGCCTGGTAAGAATGATGTAAATCTTTCCAGTACGCAACAATGATGCTATGTACACCCTGCAAAGCAAAAGTTGCTTATGGTGAGTGGTCGATTGAACAGCATAACTTTGAATTCCTTTGGATGATCAATGGATAGAGGCAAAAAAAAATCTGATAATATTAAGTGGCAAGAAGTTGGAAGCTGAGAAAGTACCTAGTCTGCCTAGCAAAGAAACTACAACAAGAAAAAACGGAGCAATTAAATAAAATTGAGAGACTGCGATTTCTAGGGTGGACCGAACTTCTTGCGGCACATTGGGCAATTCAGATATTCTTTGAACCAATCCTATGAGTGGAATGTAAGATATAAGCACATTTTGAACAAGCAAGCAAGAAAAGAAGGATAGGAAATGAACTGACCCGGAGACAGTGCCTATGAAAAAAGTGAGAAGGGTGGCAGGGCAGTACCAACACTTGATCGTTGGCCTTGTAGTCTTCTAAACACATTCCGCAGTTGGTTATCGCATGCTGGAGTGAGAGCGAAAATGCTGAAAGCGCCTGCCCTATAGAATTCAAGACCAGATCTATGTTGTGCTGGGATTCCGTAGGCTCCGGGCCATTCGGGGAGGAGGCGGTATCGGATAAGGTAGATGTCCAAGGCTGGTCTGAGATAGGCCATAGGCTATCCGGCGAAGTAGATTGAAAGTCTTGTTCCACAGGAAATCCTCTGCTTCGATCCATGATGCTGAATAGTACATTGAAAGTGAGACCTTGTGAGGACCATGAGGCCGCCGAGAATGTTACGGTATTGGGCGGCGGCACGAATGGGTTTCGCGAGGCAACAGGAGAACGACTCATGGTGGATTTGATTGTTATATGCGTCGAGACTCGGAAAGATGATTGGATTCGAGCTTAATGGAAACGGGATTTGTAGTATGTGGGATGATAGAAAAGGATAGAGTTGGGCGAGAATGTTAGCATTTCAACCTGAAGAAACAAACGTTCAACACATTCCCGAGCGCTTACGTTCAAGTCGATAGAGTAGCGAGCGAACAAGAAGACAAAAGGACCCAAAAGCAAAGCAAAAGCGGCAATCACTTGCAAAATCGCATGTCTATCACAAAAGAGGACGGAAACAACAGCGACATTCAGCTTAAAAACAATTGTGGGCCCGATCCTCTTTGACTTTCCATTTTTAGGAGCCACTAAAGCAGAAGAGTCAGCTGGTCGCTACATGGTTAGGCCCATTTGGGCTGCTAAAAAGCTAAGAGATCTCCCTTATCTCTGATCACAGACCGTGGGTAAAAATTAAATTTGAGCTTGCTTTCCGGTGTCTTATGTAGCTTCGATCGTCGGGAGTAAATTCAAGAGGGACGAGCAATCGAAATGACACAAACAATATCTCTTCTTTCTCTAGGGCTATGAGGTCCGGGGCCACAGGCTATTGGGCCTGTCATCTTCATGTTTCCCGAACGCCTCCCGACGCGTATGCCGTAGGAAACCCTCAATCGCGTAGCTTGAACAGGAGAATATGGCAACCAAAGCCATCTGCAATCAGAATAACCTTTCCAACTGTATTTCAAAAACTTCAAGTCAACCAGAGGAACACTCCATAATGGCAAAAATGCTCAAATGTACAACAAACCCTCATGATTTCTCAGACAACACATAAAACGTCAAGCTTCTATCTAAGCGATTGCGAAATCTTGATTCTCAGGTGTATCCTCGAGTGATCCAGTCCACAAGGAAAGAATGAATGTCTACAAGTTTGTACTGCAGACAGTTTGAGCTACAAAAACTAGGCCCAACTACCAATCAAGATTAATGATGAGGATTTGGGGGAGCCGAGCCGACCAGTGCGCGGAGTGAAAAATCCAACACTAGCTCGAAATCATTACATGATGAAATTCTTATAAAAAAACCGAATAATGTGGAGAGCCTTTCCATTATCAGAAAGCACCTCAAAGCGGAAGAATTGATGGGAAACAAACAGCCCTCGCATTCTTTGCTCTGGGAAGGTGTGGTAGTATTGTCCCTTTCCTACGTGCATAGCACTCATGTACGAGACTTTGTTTTGTCTTGAAGGTCTTCAAATAGTTTCAAATGGTTAAAATGGTTGAACTGAAGGTCCGGGTCAGGCTGTCAATGGGCCGGGCTCGGGCCCAAAAACCATGCCCAAACCCGCCCCGCCTTGGAACGTGGGGCGGGGCGGGTCGGGCCACAATTCCAAAAAGTATGCCCAAACCCGCCCCGGCTTTTAGACAGTCGGGCTCGGGGCGGGCTCGGGGCGGGTCTCGGGTCTGCCCATCAAAAAGGGGTTTTTTTTGGCCTGAGTATCATTCAGGGACCTTCGGTCACTCAAGCGACTGAGCTGGTAGGTCGTGCTTCCATTGCATGATATATAAATCTAGTGATATTGTGTATTTCATATGTAATCAAGCCTTCTCATGTATTTAATCTTGTATTTAGGTATGTATGGCAGACAAGAAGAAAGAGAGACAAAAGTAGTAGGTAATAAAGCCAGTCGTGTATATATAATATATGTGTATATGAGTATCAAGAACAGAGACAAAAAACAAATTCAAGAGGTTACCGATACTTCGTCATTGGCCTCATCGGCTTGGTCCAGACCCTCATCTTGCCGGATCCAGTCTTGACCGCATACGAGGGCTTCAAGGGTATTAGCATGGAGACTACTACGGAAGTCGCTGAGGACACGGCCGCTGGTTGAAAAAGCCGATTCCGAAGCGATCGATGTCATTGGTGTCATGAGGATCCGTCTTGCAAAGAGAGAGAGAGTTGGAAATCGAGAGGCATGATGTTTCCACCAGCTGAGAACATCAAAAGAATGTGAGTCCATCGGGATCGGCGGCTCTTGAAGATACAAGTCGATTTCGGCTGTTGGTGAGGAAGAGGTGACTTGTCTTTTTTACTAGCAAGATAGACCTTGAACTCCGCATCTTCGTCTTCTTCAGCAGCAGTCTTCCTTTTATTCTTTTCAGATAAACTGGTACCCGCTGCTTCCCCTTCCTCTGTCGCGGCCGTAGGATTGTGAGTCTGGGCGATCTCGGTGAACCATTCATAGAGATCGGTTCGAATTCGATTGAGGCTGTCAGCAACTCGGTCGGAGTCTTGTCCATCCGAAAGCAAGAACTTGATGAGTTCTAATTTACATCGTGGGTCAAAGGTGAGACTGATGGCCGCAATGTGCTTCATCTCATCCCAGTATTTGTTGAACTTGATGTACATTGGCTGGGTGATTTGCTTGATGTGATCGGTCGCATGATTCTCGCTATCGGTCAGTTGTTTCTCGATCTTTTTCATGAGCTTATAGACCTTGTGTGCAGTTGGATACCGAGTACCTCCAAGCTTCAAGGTTGCTAAAGGACCAGGATAAGGAATTGATTCAGCTGTCATCAATCTAGAATAACATTGAAAATGAAAGAGCTCCTCACCCGTATTAAAAATTGATAAGAAGTCTCGCATCGTTTGTATCTCATCCCACTCTTCAGAGGTTGGGCAATGAGTATAATTAGCATCAGACATAGACAGGTTAAGAAACACCTCTTTGTATGGCAAGGCAGAGTTCATCATAAGGTAAGTGGAGTTCCAGCGAGTGGGAACATCAACCGATGGAAGAGCTGGCAGTTTCGCATTGGTAAGGTTGATCGCATCTTGGAAGAGTTGCTTACGCGCCGAGGTACTTTTTGAGTATCGAACACTATCACGGATTTTGTTGACCGCAGATGAGACAATCTTGAGTCCGTCCTTGACAACTAAATTGATGATGTGTGCAGCACATCTTACATGAAAGTATCGGCCATGCATTTCGGGGGGAGTTGTGCTTCGTTCGGCGAGGACAGAGGAGACGCGATTGATTGCGACATCATTTGAGGATGCGTTGTCAACAGTAATGGTACCGACTTTGTTGATAATCTTCCATTCAACGATGGTGTTGATCAGTTGCTCGGCGATGGCTAAACCGGTGTGAGGTGCGGGGAGTTCCTTGAACGAGATGATTCGTTTGTTCAAGGACCAGTCCGGCAAGATGAAATGGGCTGTGACCACCATGAAAGGGGATTGATTCGACGATGTCCAGAGGTCTGTCGTTAATGAAACACGTTCTACGTTGGCGAGTTCGGCGATCAATTTGGCCTTCATGGACTGAAACATCGTCATGACATCGGACTTGAGCGTGTTGCGGGTGTAGAGTTTAAATTTGGGCTGCAAAGAGTGAATGAAAGTCTTGAAAAGGGGGTACTCGATCGAAGTGAATGGCTGCTCATGGGCCATAATCATCTTGGTGAGGAGATCGCGTGAGAGCTGCTGAGAAAAGGTCCATGTCGATGCAGTGTCAGCACTGCCAGAAGTCGCGAATCGCAACAAGGACTGCTTGTTCTTGCTCTGATATGAAGAGCATCGGTCGATGTGTCGCCAAAGGTGGTTCGTGCCACTCGTGCTTCTGGCAGAGAGTTCACCAAGGCAATACTTGCATATTGCCTTCAACTCTTGACCTACAATAAAAGATGAAAAGCGAACAGATGAGAATAAGTACCTCTAAGTTCTAACTTCATAATAGCAAACAGAATCGACATACCGTGGCCTTCAGTATTAAAATGCTCCCAGATGTCACTAGTCGTCTTGCGCTTCTTGGATTTCGTCATTTTTTCCGTTGGAGTGCTGGATGGGTCCTCTGAGGCACTTGGTTGTGGGGGAGTTGCCGTCGATGGGGTTGGGGTTTGCGGAGCGGAGTCAGATATGACTGTGATATCCTCGTTTGATTCGGGCATGGGGCTTTCCTTGCCCTTGGACTTGGGCTGCTTTTTTGAAACTTTGAATCTAGGGGGCATGACGATGTCGATGAGATATGCAGAAACAGTGTGTATCCAGGTACTGACCATGGTTATGGGATTCTGGGCCCTCAAACCTAATAATATGTACTGTGAGTACACATTATTAGGTTAATTATGATGATAGTCAGAATTACTCGGGCTTTTCATGGGCCGGATGGGCCGGCCCACATCCAGGAAAGCCTGCCCAAACCCGGCCCATGAATTTGGTGGGTCTCCGCGGGCCGGGTCACACTTGAGTATTTTTCCACCCTTTCCTGTCCAAACCCGCCCCGAGACCCGTCGGGGCGTGGGTAGCCCATGGGCGCCCGAGCCCATTGACAGCCTGAGGTCCGGGGGATTCATTCTCACCCCGCTGCGGCACAGTTGGGCACGTGGAGGAATGAGACAGACAAGGTTCGAAACCTAGTTCATCTGGTGGAAGGAATATAAAAGGGGTTTTCTTTTCTTCTAAAAGTTGTTTTCCTTTTTTCTTCATCAGATTCTCTAGCTTTCATCTCTGTGTCGGTTCTCTTCTCACACATCTTTGTTGTTCGCCTCAACCGCCACAGGTCTGTTCTCTTCATTCTCATCTCTTCTTCTTCTCTGCGTTGTTGTTTTCTCATCTTTCATTTCTTCTAGGTTTGCTTGCTTCTGTTCACTTGTCAGTTCATGTTGGTCGTGCCCTAACGCCTCGGTTTGGAAAACCTCAGGTTAGAAATGAAATTGATCAGATTCTCTAGCTTTCATCTCTGTGTCGGTTCTCTTCTCACACATCTTTGTTGTTCGCCTCAACCGCCACAGGTCTGTTCTCTTCATTCTCATCTCTTCTTCTTCTCTTCGTTGTTGTTTTCTCATCTTTCATTTCTTCTAGGTTTGCTTGCTTCTGCTCACTTGTTAGTTCACGTTGGTCTTGCCCTAACGCCTCGGTTTGGAAAACCTCAGTTTCTAGGTTCATTAGGTTATGAGCCCAGGGGAGCTTTAACTGCCATCTCGATCTAACCTTGACCTACGCACGCCATCATGAATGACAAACACTCGAATCCCTCAATTCCTACTCTCTCCAACTTAAACTGGGATCTGTGGAGCATGCTCATCGAAGGATACATGAAAC